AAGATGGAAGAGTGAAATTTCCCAATATTATCATACTCCAAGAGAACAATTCTTTCTGCTAGACTCACATTGGGTATGAAAGTCTTTAACTACCCAGCATTTCTTTTAATCAGTTATACTGCTTTTGGGCTCATTTTACAAAGCCATCTGGCTTTGCAGACGTTAACACAAGGTCTATGAAAACCTCACGTTTCATTGTGGCCCCACGATGGGGAGCAATCCACTTCAAAGTGTGTTAAGCTCCCAGGATTCTGGTGCTGAAATAGCTCACTCAGATTTTTCATTGTCCTGGCCTCCAAGGAGTCTGGCCATCTAGGAGATAAAAGTATTCTTCTGAAAGCACCATGTAAAAGAAAATATTTGTTCAGTCGCGGTGTCCTTACAAATGTGATCTTATGCTCCACGGCTGGACGCTTGAGAAGATGAAAATGAAGGGGCCCTAACAGACAACGGTGGAGACCTGGTCAGATAAATTGGAGGTTGGGGAATGTGCTGCCCCAAATTGGAGAATGCTGAGGTGCCCTCCTTCCTGTGAATATCCTAACTCATTCTTACAAAATGTTTTATACCTCAGGATGGCATTAAATAAAAATGCTTTGACTTTTCTTTTTCCACTGCTGAATTCAACTGCAATTATATTTAAAGTATCTTTACTTTCTATTGCTTTGGCAGGTTCACTTTTGAAGTATTCTATTCATACATTTCAATAGTCCTATCCCTTTCAAAGAGATAGTAACCTGGCCTTTAACAATGCATACAAGGGAATGATGGTATTTTTTTCTTTTGCAAGCAGTTACTTCATTCATTAGAATTTGAGTTTGTCATTTTTAGCAGAAATGACAGCAGAAAAATGACATGAGAGAAAATTGACATTTAAACATTTAGAGGTATGAAAATATTGTGGGGATTAATAACCAGGGGCCAAATTTAATGTGCCGTTTTAAAATGCAGTCCTTTGACATGACTTAACCTGGAAGTTAAATGCAGCTGACAATACACGTCGCCAGCTCACAATAGGTTTCCTCAAAGAAAAAGGCTGCCATTTCTCTTTAAGGCACAGAGAATAAGGGTCACTGACTACTGACCCCATGGCTTCATTCCAATAAATAGAGCAGTCTCAACTCATTTCTTAATGGCGAGAAGATCTGATGGCAGGAAAGACAAGCACTCGGGTCACAATTACTACTGATTTACAATTTCTACAGTGAGCCCAGGGACAGGGTGTGTCCTTACTCCAAAAGAACTACATCTTCTCTGGGGATGCTACACTTTACCACTGACAGAGCCATTTAACATGTAAGCAATATGGAAGTCTCACACCGGCACTGAAATTGTTGCATCTATGTCTTGCTAATGCCTATAAGAGACTTAACATATTCTAGCAGTGGACTACTAAGGCAAAATAAAGATGGGAGGCTGGTGGCATTTCATTTTGAGAAAATACTACAAAGATACTATTTAATAAGGGTAACATTTTAACAAGAACAAGATAATAGTATTTAATTAGAACAACGTTAAATGACGTTACATTTTATCCTGGCCAGGCAAACTTTACAAGACTTAGATTGATCATTAATGTGTGCCAAATATTTATCTTGATTCAGTTTTAACTTTTAGCTGCAATATTTTTAAAAGTACAATGTCACACAGGTTGTTTTATTTGCGTTTACTGTAGATGAATGCCCACAATCTAAGGTGGGCTCCAGTTTACCTCATCTTGTTAGGTCCAGGAATGACATCCCTGAGGACTGCTCTGAACACAAGTCCTGACATGTTTTTGGAGGTACATGGTTGTTTTCTGATCAGCGAAGAATACTCACTTGCTTAGTATTTTTAGACTTGGGGGCTCTGACACAACCTTAGCTGAATCATTTAAATCAACATACATGTTTTTTTTTTTTTTTTTTTACACCCAAGTTGTAGTTTTAGGGTATCCCCTCCCTCAGTTCTTAAGTCCTACAAACATTATTTTTATTATTCTAGCGCTTCCCTATTTATTACTTCATACCCTCTAATCATAAGTGGTATTTTAGACAATTTGATCCACTACAGCAGCTACGGTTTTTCTAGCTTCAGGAATAATATTAACCGCACAGCCACCGCACTGCCTGTGGACTCCTAGGGTCACTCCAACCCCCAGCTGCTGATGCTTGTTTATGTTTTATTTGTTTTACAAAAATAGAGAAGTTCTCTAGCCTAATTTAAACAATTCTACCTTCCAGAGTCTTCAGGAATTGGGCAGCCCTGGAACAAACTAAAGGCTTAAATACTTGACAGTATTATAAAAGAAATATTCCTTTATTATTGTTAATCTTATGACACCTGTTATTTATTGGTTTTTACTGTGGTTTTAAATTTCTGGGATTCTACCCATATTTTAAACCAAGTTTACTTTAACAATGGGGAATTTACACAGATACACACATATAATTATGTTCAAAATACACTTAATTATATCTTTTTATGTTTATCAACCATCAGTTTTGATGATGACCCAAACTTGAGTGCAGGAAACACAACTGGAGTTGATCAAAATTATTTAGAAATACTGGAAACACAATATGCCTTTTATTTAGCCCAGTTTGAATCATTTATCACCTCTGCATATGTCATGACTGACTTACAATTACCATGTCCTCTTTGCTGCTTACGTTTTCCCTACTGGCCCGAAGTTCCTTCAGTTTGGTCCCTCTACCCTTTACAGCTCAACCTCCACACGCTGCTGAAAGTATCCTTGCTCGTAAGCAAGAAACCGTTCCAAAACCGACAAAATTCTGCTTATCTCAGTCATGGTATCAGTTATATTCCAAAGAATGTCCTGATGCCCGTTAGTGGAGAATGGTGTTAGAGACCAAAATCAGGGTACAGGAAGTACCTACGAGATGGTTTCATGTGAGTACTAGAGGGGAGCCTGGAGGCAACTGTCCACCTTTTTTAGAACAAAGCACAAAAAACTATTTGGTTTTGATTCAATAAAGATGATACGTTCACACAGAAGACTTCAATTTAACTCTAAGTTTACTGTCCTTTTTGGTCTTGATGTGAATAATTTAATTTCATCCCCCTTTTCTAAATTATCTTTAATATTTATACACATGCAAAAAAGTGCCATACCAATCTATTTATTTGAATTATACTACCATTGACATTAGTAGAAACCTCAATTTTTAAAACAATTTTATTTTATCCAAGTATATCATTCAGTAATAATTCTAATATCTTAATAATTTCACCATTTCATTTTTGGCTATAGAACAATTTTTTTTTTTTTTTACTTAATCAAATAAACATACGTAGAACCTGCATGGGACGTCCCTTTATTTCCATAAGTAAACTACAGACCTCACATTTATTTGCATATGTGTTCATCTGTAAACTAATATTATCATTATTTTTAATCCCAGGCAGTTTTAGTATTTAGCTCCAATATTTCAAATGCCTTTAGAAAAACACAAAGGTTATTATTTTAATACTATAAGCTACATTTCCAAAAAGGAATTACAAAAGTCAGTAAATACAATTAATATCATACTAATACAGTATAAAAGTTAATTGTCAAAAACATACTAAATATTAGACAACTTTACCCCAAATTTCAAGCGTAGCAATTTCCAAAGTCCATATAATAGTCAACACTAAGCTTAAAAAGAATCAAATCATAAAAGGCCCCAAAGTGCATGGTTTATTATACACTTCAGTTACAGTTCCTTGTTCACATCATATTTACAAACCTCTCAACCAATCCAAATATGGGTATATGTCATAATTTCATACATAACCAGAAATACAAATTATTCATAAAGTTACAGTCATTGAACGCTTTAACCACTTAAGCTTTAATGCAATAACCTAATTCTGGGATAGATTAAAATATCATGCCTGTATCCCCACATTTGCATCTTGGAGTAATTGTACAATTATCACAGAGATAAAATAACATTTAAATAATTTAAACTGATAGAAGAAATAACCCTTAGTTTATCAGTAAATATTTTTCCAATTAGTGGCATCAAGTAAAGAGATCCCTATATGGAGAAATATTAAATTTTTTATTTTATTTACTGTGTAGTGTTATATTACCTTTCTGATTAAAAACATGTAAGATAAAACCCCTCCAATTTTTAATTTTAGGATTTAATTTAAATGCCCAAAAACAGTTATGAAAAGTGTGAAAAGAAGGCTAAGTGAAGAAGAACTTACCAGAAATTAAAAGTCACTAGAAAGCCACTGTATTCAAAACAGAATGGTGTCGGCACAGAAACAGACAGATAGAGATCAGAACAGAGAGTCCAGAAATATTAACAAATCCAAATACATATGGCATCTTCACATGTGACAAGGGGAATAATTCAATCCCATAAAAAAACGAAAGTTCTTGTATAATAGGACTTAAGTAACTGGTTATCCATCTAGGAAAAAAAAAATCCTACACCTCACAGTCATGTACAAAATTTAAAACTGGAGTAAAATTTGAATGTTTTTAAAAAATTAGTAATAAAATTTAAGAGAACACTTGTATGAACTTGGAGCAGACAATAGCAAAACATAACTCAGAAGCAATAAAGAAAAAGACATTTGATTAAATAATTAACAATTTATAAAAGACATTATAAACAGATAAAAATTGTAATGATACATTTGCACACAAATACAAAGGATTAATACTTACTTCTAAAACACAAGAGCTTCTAGAAATTGAGAAAGAACAACACTACCAAATGGAAAAATGGGCAGTGAAAATGAACATGAAATGAAAAGAGAATTCAAATGGACAATAAACATATGAAAATATGCTTAACATCAGCAACAGTGAAGGAAATGCAAATTAATGATCAGATAAAATAAGATCTGCAAGAATTAAAAAGGGCAGTGACATCCGTGCTGGCGAGAATGTTAGGTGATGGGCACTCTTAATGTATGAAGGTGATTTGCTATTCTTTTGGGTAAGGCAATCTAGCAACATCTAATAAAATTAAAAACACACATACCGTTTGACCAAGCAATTCCACTTCTGGGAATCTATCCTATGGGAAAAAAAAGGACCAGTACGTAAGGATATAGGTACAAAGACGTTTATTGCAGTAGTGTTTGTTGTGGGGCAGGGGAAAGGGAGGTACCGAAAAGAACATGAATGTCCACTAATAGGGAAATGGTTAAATGAAATATGGTGCATGTAATGTAAAATATTACAGAATTATTAAGATGAATGGGATAAATATCTACTGACTTGGAAGATTGATAAGGTGAGAAAAGCAAACTGAAGAGTGGGTGCTTAATGTTCTTGTTAAGACAAGTAGTAGCAACAATTGCGACAAATCAATGTGAGTGAAGCACCTGTGTGCACAGGCTATGAAGGATGGGAGAATGTGGACCAGGCTGACAACAGCTACCAAAGGGAAGGTTGCCAATGGAGTCGGGGATTGGAAGGAATTGGGATAATTTACTTTCTCTGTGTATATCTTTGTGCTGTTTCACTAGTTACTATAAGCATTATATTAATTTTATAATTTTCAAAACCATATTTTAAAAAAACTATTAGCTTTTATTAGTGAAAGTAGACTAGTACTTCCAGACATTCATCTTTAGTAAAATAGTAGCAAATGAACAAATATCCCCTCTTCACTTATGCCACTCTCACCATAGTGCTCATCACTGGTGACTTGCCTGGTGTCCACTCCATCTCTCCTTGCCATTTGTGTATCAGCCATGCAGTTTGGGTGGGAATGACTACACTCTATTTCCAGGGACTTCTGAATGGTCTAAGCCACTATTCTCCACCAGAAATACAGTTCAGAGCTGCTTATATAATTAAAAATTTTATGATCGTCACATGAAACAAATTTTTTAAAGAACCAGGTGAATGTAATTTTAATAGTACATTTAATCTAACCCAACATATCCAAAAATACTACCATTTCAACATGTAATTAACAGAAGAATTATTAATAAGGTAGTTCACTTTTTGCATCTCAATTTGGACTAGCCACACTGCACTAGAGAGCACAGGTCTAAGCTAGTGACAGTAATGCTATAAACATTACCATGTCCACGGGTGGACACATAATTTAAGTGGTCCAAGCACAGAGAAACCCACAATGGTAGGAGAAGAACATTTCTGTCCTGATAAGAGAGAATAAGAAAAAAAATGAACACTGGCAGACATCGAGGGACAAGCTGGGAAGGAAGCCTGTGGCAAGATGCAGGAGAACCTGGGTCCTCTGGCGACACTGAACCTCTGGATCGACCCCTGCATGAAGCCTGAATTTTCCAGTCATATGAGCTGGTAAATTTTCTTTTCTTTTTTTCCAGTCACTTAGCATTAGGTTTTCTATTACTTGGAATCAGAAGTAGATTAATTAGAAAACTCATCTATGGATAAAGCCATACTCAAAGAGAATCCTTTTCTCCTTAAATGAATTAACTCAAATGTTTAAAATGTCTACCAATTATCTGTAGTCAAGCCATTCTTTTGTTAAACTAGCTTTATTTGATAATATTTTTAGAAATCTTCTGAAAACATCCCAAAGAAGAGTCCCACAGCCTAATCCCTTGTTGTCCAGGGTAACTGTCCACGGTCACCACACAAGAGGGTATTTCTCCTCTAGACAATGCATGCATAAAATATCAGAGCGACCAATCAGCTCTCACTCTCATTCCACCTCCTTTTCTGGTCCTCCTCCTCTAGACCAGGGTTTCTCAACATCAGCACTACAGACATTTTGGGCAGATAATTCTTTGTTGGGGGTTAGGGTAGGGGTTGTCCTGTCTTCTGTAGGATGTTTAGCACTATCCCTCATCTCTCCCCTGTAGATGATAGTGGGAGAAACCCTGTCTCCCCAGTAGTTGTGACAACCAAAAATATCTCTAAACATTCTCACACATCCCAACAAGGGGCAAAATCACCCCTAGTTGAGATCCACTGTTCTAGATCAACTGTATAACTGACCTTCCAGGCACTGAAGCAATTGCTAAAGCATGATGTCACCCTCTGTCGGTGTCCCCAGCATCACAACCTTTCTGGCCTTGTGGCCCTCTCCTCTGGCCACTGAACCTCATTGGATCACACTCTTCCTCGTCCAATCCCTGCCTATACTTAGCCTGAGCTCTCCATTGCAGTTCTTCTTTCCAGAAGAAATGTGGCTAGTTCCTTTTTACTTCAGCTTGAAATTATTACCTGAGCTGCTCCCAGAACCACCTACCCAGCCACCTCCTTGGGCTTCTCTGAGGTGATTTTCTGACAAAGTATTTGTCCGTTTATAATCACTTATTCCTCAATTCAGTCTCCCAAACCTGGGTCACTCCCTTCCTTCATCAATGTATCTTGTGGGCAATTCCATCCCCATCTTTCCACACTGTTTATCAACTTACATAGTATTCTCTCTAACCCGTCTCTTAAGTCTACAGTTTCATTATAATTACCGGTCAGCTTTTCTCAGCTCCTCAAATTAATCTATAGATTCAATGCAATCCCAATAAAAATCACAGCAGGCTTTTTTTTTTTTTTTGGTAAAAGCTGACAAAGTGATTCTAAAATTAAAGAACCTAGGATAACCAAAACGACTTTGAAAAAAGATGAACAAAGCTACAGAACTAACACTACTGATATCAAGACTTATTGTAAAGCTACAATATTCAAGACAGTGTGGTATCGATACAAGGACAAATAGATCAGTGAATCAGAACGGAAAGCCTATAAATAGACACACACATATACAGACAACGAATTTTCAACAAAGGCACAAAGTACTTCAGTGGAGAGAAAAGAGTCTGTTCAAAAAATGGTGCTGGAATAATTAGATATTTATATATAACAACATCAACTTTGATATGTACCTCATCCCAAATAAAAAATTAACTGAAAATTAATCATAGACCTAAGTGTAAAATCTGAAACTATAAAATTTCTGTAAGAAAACACAGGAGAAAACCTTTGTGAACTTGGATTAGGCAAAGATGACTTAAACACCAAGAGTGCTTAAAGAACGAATTGATAAATTAGACTTCATCAAAATTTAAAGCTTTTGCTCTTCAATAGCTGCTGTAAAGAGAATAAAAACACAAGCCACAGGATGGGAGAAAACATTTACAGATCATGGATAGAAGGTTTATTTATAATAGCCCAAAACTATAACTAACCCAAACGTCCATCAACAAATGAATAGAAAATCAAACTGTGACATAGCTCTTCAATAGGATATTACTTAGCAATAAAAAGCAATGAATTATTAACATATGCTACAACATGGATGAATCTCAAAATAATTATGCTAAGTGAAAGAAGCCAGACCAAAAGAGAGAGAGAGAGAGAGAGAGAAAGAGAGAGAGAGAACATAAAATATCCTTCCATGTATATAAAATTTTAGAAAATGCAAACTCATCATTAGGGCTGAAAGCGTTGGCAGCCAGATATTTCATTCTCCTGAGTGTGGTGGTGATTTCATGGGCATGTACACATGTCCAAAATGTATGAAGTTGTACACTTTACGTGCATTTTACTGTATGCCAGTTATGTCTCATTAAAGCTTTTTTTTCCTAAAAAAGAAAGAAAGAAATACAATGCTAGCTACTGGGGAAAGCCTTAACTGCTAGACCTTGTAGGCTTATTCTACTCTGGGGACAGCTGAAATCAGTTCATCCTACAAGGGATTCCATGAAAGAAGTTCTGGAGTTTTGGTCTTGTCTTAAATTCTGCTGTGGGTTAATACAAACAGAATTCACAATCCTTTGGTATGTTGACATACTACAGCTTGGGGGATATTAAATAGCAGATGCGGTGTGTGTTGGCAGGGAAAGACTAGATAGACCCCAATGAAGTACCAATTTGAACTATTTTTACTTTAATTCTTCTTTTATGCATTTCTCCAGACAACCACCACCATTACCATCCTTACTGTGGTCTTAAAGGTATGCCTGACCAACATCTTTCAGGGAAAAAAAAAATTTTTTTTTAGACTAGAGCTAAGTGGTCTTGATTCTTAAAGATAATAATTAAGTAATAGGCTTTTAACTAGATGTGTGAAGACAATATTTTCCCTGTGATTCTATCAGAATCAGTTGTATTTACATACAAATTGGTAATACCTTAGAATTCCACCTAAAAAAGCCACCATAGTTCCCCTAAGATATGAAACCTGTGTAGTGATCGATTAATTTCATTTCGGTATATGATGTCAATTGCATTTTAAAAATATACTCCATTGCTTCCAAGTGCTTCTTTAATCCACAAGGACTGGTCTTAGCATTTAAACTAATTTATCCTAGACATAAAAAAACCTTCTGCTTATTCTCCCAGATAACTGATTCTTGGTTTGTTAAGATACTAAACACTATGCTTTATACCCTGAAATACAAAACCCCTGGTGAACTCACTCATGTTCCCCATGCAAAGCAAATACTGATGTTTACTGCCTGGGCAGAGAGGGCAAGGGAAGCTGAGAAAAGGAGCAAAACTCTCCTACTCTCTGTTCTGCTGCTAACCCAGCAGGAAGGTCCCACTGCCCCCGGAGTAACCATTACCACCTGTTCCACAGCAGCTACACCTGTAAGTCACACAGCATTAACTTCTCAAAGCAAATGCTCTCCTCAGTTTCCTAAAAATAAATCCTAACAATAACCTCTGCCTCAAAGCTGTCCTAAGTAAAAGCACTTATATACCACCTCCACCACCACTAACGATAAAAGCCCCACCTGGAAAATCAGGGCTTAGGAAGAGTTAGGCCTCAGTGCTAAGGTCACCAGAAGGTTAATCCCATTCATCTCTATGACGTATCAAAAGTTTAAAATGACTTTTTTCCACACAATAAAGAATACATAGTATATGCTAAATTAATATTTTCTAATAAAGGACATCTTTGCATAAGCACCTACCAAAAATACAAGTGTTTCTGGAAAGATTACATTTCTACAATACAGGCCTTTTAAAAATCTTCCCTCAATACAAGATGCATGTTTGAATTTATTATTAGAAATTTCATTATAAAAATACATTAAAATGTATCTGTCCATGTTGGGTCAAATTCATGCC